CATGGAAGCGGTATATCTCGGACGGACCGACATGAATCTGACTGCAGTGAGAAAGAAACTGCTGCTGCTCGCAATGGAGCCAATGGAGAAGATCATTGACTACGTGAATCGAGCCAAGAGCTACAACGACGATCTCACAGCAATGGGGGCGCCCGAATCAGAGAAGCACATGATGGGATACATCATCAGCGGCCTACCCAAGGAGTGGACAGCAGAGATCGGAATCCTTACCTGCAACACGCCCAAGGATTTGACCCAGCTGCTCGAGACCCTCCAAGCGCTGGAGCTGGTCAAATCTGACCTGAAACGGAGGGAAGCAGTGGCAACAGTAGCAGAAGAAATCAGGCCTGCAAATTTGAATGCAACTGCAACTCCAAGGATTGTTGGCAGCTGCTACCACTGCGGGAAGAAGGGGCACAAAGCTGCGGACTGTTATTCCAACCCAAATGTAAGAAACTACAAAGGGAAAGGGCGCTGGCAGCAAAACATCGAGAGGGGACACGGAGAAGGTTACAAGGCAAGCGGAGGATTCAATGGAAACTGCAACCATTGCGGCAAATATGGGCACAAGGCTTCCGACTGCTACAACAACAAAGCCAGCAGAAACTACAGAGGAAAGGAGCTGCAACAAAAGCCAGCAGCAGCGAAGACAAATGTAATGGAGGTACCTGCAGCTATGGAGGCCACGACAAAGGTTGACGCTATTCTTGGAGGCGCCCACAAAGCAAACGTCGCTCGAGCATCCGAGGTGTGCCTGCTGTCAAAAGGATTCAAGGAGAAGGCTTGGTTTATGGACAGCGGGTGCACACAGCACATGACGCACCGAGCTGATTGGCTAAGCGACTACCGGGAATCTGGAGTCCCTTACGTCCTACTCGGGGATGAAGGAAAACTTCAAGTGCAAGGAGAAGGGGACCTGATTTTACAGAGCCCCTATGGGGAGCTGAAAATGGACAACGTTCTCCTGGTGGAGAAGCTGTCCCTCAACCTGATAAGTCAAACGCAACTGGACAGCAGTGGCTGCAAGACGTTCAGTGACAACGGAAAGCTGTGGGTGTTCGGTCCCGACTGGCAACTACTAGCGGAAGGCGCACGGACCCAAGGACTCTATCAGATGAAGCTGAAGGAGCAAGATTCGTGTGAAGATAAGGTCACCTATCAACCTGAACCTGAAGAAGGAAAGAAGGCCCGAGAAGAGCTACGTACCATGCTGGAAAATATTGCTGTGACTGAGCTGCAGCAGCTGAAGCTTCCCGTGGCAGCAGCGGCGGAAGCGGTTGATATCAATCTCCTGCATAAAAGGATGGGGCATGCGAACACTCAACGGATCAAGGAAATGATGAAGAAAAACATGGCAGCGGGAGTGAAGGTGACTGGAGCTGAGGAAACCCATATGAAGTGCGACTCATGTGTTGAAGGAAAAGCTACAAAGGCTCCCCATCCAAGACATGGACCGAAGGAGCCATATGGGGCAATGGAAATGGTGGCAGCGGACGTATGCGGTCCAATGAGGGTCACATCACGACATGACAGCAGATAATTCATTACATTCACGGACATCGGCACAAGACTCACATGGGTGACGGAGATCAAAGACAAAACGCAAGTTTTACCGAGTTTCATTGATTGGTTGGCGGAAGCTGAAAGACAAAGCGGCAAACAGCTGAAAGTTCTCCGAACCGACAACGGTGGGGAATTCATCAACAAGGACTTCAACGACTACCTCAAAGCCAAGGGAATACGACGGCAGCGTACTATTCCCCACACCCCCCAACACAACAGCATCGCGGAACGGGTGAATAGGACGTTGCTCAATAGCGTGCGGAGCATGCTGGCGGACAGTAAGCTACCTCTGACCTACTGGGGAGACGCACTAGGCATGGCCTGCTGGCTGAAAAATCGCCTACCAACAAAAGGACTTGCAACAGAGATGACCCCTCATGAAGCATTCTACAAGCGGAAGCCTAACCTGAAGTTTCTTCGAGTATGGGGCTGTATGACGCAGTACAGGCCCCCTGCTGGAGCTGATCACAAACTCCTGCCAAGAGCACGTTGGGGGGTGCACTTAGGAACATGCCCGGAGAGCAAAGGCTGGATTATCAAAGACGTGGAGACTGGGATCGTGCTGGCGACCAGGGATGTCACATTCTACGAAAACCTCAACTACGTGGACTGGAAGGCAAGCAACAAGGGCACAACTCCAGGGACAGCACCTGCCACACCTCAACGAGCGGAGGAACTGCTTGAAGATGCCCAAAACGAAGGTTTGGGGACAGCGAACAACGAAGGGGAAGAAGATGAAGAAGAACATACCCAAGCTGGAGTGGATTGGGTGTGGGAGCCAACGGAGGATAAGCTCGACAACAGTGACATGGAAGCGGCGCCTACAACTCCACTTCTGCCAAAATCAGCGAGCGACATAGATGGAGACATTGGAGAGGATGAAGCTGAACAAGCAGATCAGTCAAGTACTGAGCGGAAAAGCGACCCGTGGGAATTTTTCGAGACAAGCAACAATGACAAAGGAGCTGCAGAGATCGACAACTTGCTGCAGGATGGAGCCACTCTTATTGGGAGAGAGGAAGGTGGCACAAGCACGGAGAAAGCAGGGGAGATGGCAGCAGATACGGGTGCAAGTGATGCTTCGGTGAAAGGAGAGGAGCTGGGTAGGGGGAAGCGGACGAAGAAACCGAATCTGAAATACCAACAGGTCCTGATGACATGCTGGAAAGACGTACACACTCACCTCCTTCTGACCTCGACGGCGACCGCGTTGATCACCAAGGAAAGGAGAGAGACCTACAAGCTGCCACAAGAACCCCTGACCATCGAGGAAGCACTTTCTGGACCATACAAGGAGCAGTGGAAAGCGGCTATACAAGAGGAGTTGGACGCTCTTGCGGAGAGAGGCACGTGGAAACTGGTCCAAATGCCCGAAGGGAGGCACGCCGTTGGCGCCAAGTGGATTTTCAAGATTAAAACAGGGGATAAGGGGCAGCTGGAGAGGTTCAAAGCGCGGCTCGTGGCAAAGGGTTACACGCAAGTGGAGGGAATCGACTACACGGAGACATATGCCCCTGTCAGCAAATTGACTACAGCACGGACACTCTTCAAGATCGTTGCGGCACGCAACTACATCATGGTTCAACTTGACATAAAAAACGCTTTCCTCTACGGAGAGCTTCAAGAAGACATCTACATGGATCAACCTACAGGAATGGAGGACGGGACTGACAGAAAATGCAAGCTGTTGAAAGCACTCTATGGGCTGAAACAAAGCCCTCGAGAGTGGTACAGGGCTGTGGATGCACGTCTACTCGAAGGAGGATTCCAGAAAAGTCAGTGCGACAGAGCGTTTTACTGGAAAGGGGAAGGGGAGGAGAAAGTCTACCTCCTACTCTACGTCGACGACATCCTAGTGGCTGGAGCTTTAGAGGACAGAGTTGAGGAGGTGTGTGCTCACCTTGCAGCCGTGTTTCAAGTGAAGCAGATCCCGCGAGCCACGTTGTTCCTTGGCATGAACCTGGAGCGGGACCGAGAAGGAAGGAAGCTGCTACTTTACCAAAAGAAGTACATCCAACGGCTGCAAGAACGATTTGGAACACCAGGCTGCACCAAGGCCGTGACAACTCCGCTCAGCAGCCTCTCGGAGAAAGAAATCAATCCTGAAGAAGAACTCATCCAATGGAGCAGCAAGGGACGAGCATTGATGGCTTACCAGTCACGCGTCGGATCGGTGATGTACCCTGTCTCTTGTACGCGGGTAGATGTCGCACATGCTGCCAACTTCTTGGGGCAGAACGTGCTGCAGCCAGAAGGCCGCAAATGGAAAGAGATGCAGCGCACAATCACTTATCTGCAGCAACGGGGAGAAGAGGGGCTACTATACGAAGGCAGAGAAGAAACAATGGAGTTAATCGGATACGCTGATGCATCCCATGCATCAGACAAGAAGGACAGGAAGGGAGCTTATGGATACGTCTTTCTCCTAGGCGGGACAGCAATCACATGGCAAGGGAAGAAGCTGAACGACATTGCACTCTCGAGCGCGGAAGCGGAATACATGGCGTTATTCTACGCATGCCAAGAAGGAGTGTGGCTAAGGCGATTGCTACAAGAAATGGGAGTACGTGTGCAAGATCCAACAACCATCAGATCGGACAGCAAATCGGCCATAGCATTGGCGAAAAACGACAACTGGCACGGGCGGACCAAGCACATGGACATTAAATATCATTGGGTGCGTGAACAGCTGGAGAAAAAGGCATTTACCTTTGAGTTCGTACGGACAAAAGATCAAGCAGCCGAATTTCTTACTAAGGTCCTTCCGAAGGCTAATTTCGAGCGCTGCAAGTATCTTGTCGGGATGCGTACCCTGCAGAACTTACAGGGGAGCAATGTGGAGGAACAGTGATTAAGATTTTCAGATCTAGGGTTGGCAGCAGCAAACCACAGGGGAGATTGTTAGAAGTGGTTCGCCGCTGCACCGACTCTAGAGCATGAAAACGACAGAACAGGACACTTGGAAATTGCCATACCTATGGCGGTGGGAGAGAATAGGTTGTGACGGTGGGAGGAGCTAGCTGAGAAAATCGTGAGGAGCAGCTGGTGAAAACAAGGGTTTCATGAGAGAGAGGGAAGAATGTTCTCAACCGCCAGAATTTTTCCAACCATTCCGGAGGTGGTGTTCGGTGGAGTTGAAGAAAGTCAGTTTCAACGACGGTTCAGTTTGAATTTCGGTTTTCAACGTCGGTTACTGTTACGAAATTCGGATTTGCGACGAGGCGCGTTACACGAGGCGCCCTTTGAAATTCGGATTTCGGATTGCTTAAATATCATGTTCTGTTTTTTTTTCCTCATTGTATCAGTTTTTCATAGTGAAAATTTCTGTTTACAACCTGGGTTGGAAAGCAACCTGTTTCTTCAACTTTCAAATCCAGTCTGGAGCCCGCTACTGCTGTTTTCGTGACTTCTAAGTCGCGTCCTCACTGCGACTAAGGCTAAGAACCAGTGCCGCCACCCCCTCCCCCTCCGGACGAGGCAGAGGAGCACGCGAAGTCCACTTGCAGCGCGCCACTGGGAGGAGGGGCGAGGGGGAGAAGGGAAGGGGGGAGAGGGGAGAGGGAGGAGGAGAGACGGAAAAGCAGGAGCATGAGAAGAGAAAACCAAGAGAAGGAAAACGGAAGCTGCGAGATGGGTTGGAATGAAACGATGAGATGAGTTGTCTTGGGACTGTACTACTCGCTCTAGCGGCCGTGGAAGGCAAAAGTCCGTACTCACTTTCTCACACTTCACTCTCTCACACTTCAATCTCTCAAACCTGTCCGAGCTGGATGAGATGAAGTCTTAGGAACTAAATGATAGGGTGAAGGGCTGCACTTACTCATAGCCATCGAGGAGGGTCCGAACTCACCCTCGCGACCATGTCTGTGAGATGAAAGTCTTGGGTGCTAAATGGTGAGGTGAGGGGTTGCACTCACTCACTCAATCTCTCACTCCCTCAACCTTGTCAGAGATGCACTCACTCATAGTCGCCGTGGAAGCCGAGCGTCTGCGAGCCGTCGCTAGAGTGCGCCCACACGAGTGTGTTGCTGCCCTGCACGCTCACCGGCACCGAGCCATCTCCCACCGAGCGATTGAACCTGCAACAAGAGAGGGGGAAAGGAGAGGGGGGCGGGGGGAGTGGGGATGGTGTGTGTGAGAGCGAGATTTAGGGAGAAAGTTGATAATGAAAGAGAAAGGAAATCAAACCCAAAACTGACAAGCAATACCCAGAACCCTATACCCTTCCAGTTCCGAGATATATATAGTTTCCCGAGGACAGGAACCGCAACACCCCAAACCACCGCCGCTGCGTACTTGAGAACGGTGGATCCCGAGGGTGACGTGGCGAGCTGCGCGTTGCCAATATCGAAGCTGCTTGTGGGCTGAACGTCGCTCTGCGCTGTGCCGCTCATGTACACCGCCTGGACTGCGCCGCCCGCCAGATTGCCCACCACGGCGTCGGAAGCCGCCATGCGGCCCGTCGCCGACCAACCCACGGAGAACCATCCCGCCGCCGCCGCGCTGCCGCCCGCCGCTTCCAGCGCCAAGGCGAGGCGCGACGAGTCCACTGCGCGCCAATGCAGCATGAGACTGGACCCCAGCGGCGCGCTCCACGCGAACCCCTCTAGCGCCGACGCCGCGCACCCCGCGCCCGCCGCCGCAGTTGTAGCAGCCGCGGAGCCAGCAGCTGCGGTTGTAGCGCCGGTGGTTGTAGTAGCAGCAACGGCAGTGCTGCCCGTGTTGCTCCTTTTACCACCATTTATATTGCCGCGAAGGAACGTGCTTCCGGACGTCCAGATCGTGTGCGCTATGGTCCGGCTCGATACGAATCCCTGTGACCTAAGCGCCGTGTGCCCCGCGCCGACTGCGGCGCTTGGGAAGCAGAGCAGCAGAGAGCCGAGGAGCAGGAGAAGAATCACGCCGCTGCTGTCTACTTTACTAGCAGACGATACCGCCATGCGTCGATGCATGCCGAAGGGGAAATGTCCACCGAAGAACTCTAACGCAGCCACTTATGGTGTCACGTATTTCTGAATCCGTTTCTTAGGAGAAATGTGCTTCAAGCAGTTCGAGTGGTATTGTACGATGTCTGGTGCTGTCTCTCTGTTGTGTGTGGGTTTGCTGCATTCCATTCAGTTTATGTGTGCGAGTGCCTTCTGCAAAACTGCATGGAGAGATCACACCGCCACCGAGAAAATGTCGCGAATTTAGGCGACAGCACATAACAGTTTCCGATGGGAAAAGAAAACGGATGAAAGGATGCGAGTTGAGCTCACGAAACCTGCAAAGTTTCTGATAGCTTTCTGAGAGCGCTGCGATTCTGAATTTGAGAAATTGCTTGACGACAGATTCAGAAGTGCGCTGATCATGGTCACCGCGACCTAGAGAGTGGCTGACTGGGCTCGTTTGACTCGTCAACTTCCAGGCTCGTTTGGCTGTCTGATTCGTTATACTGTTGAGCCAAACGAGTCATGGAACTCGTTTTTGGGTTGCGTAGCAACCTTATACATTCGTTTTCACTTTCCGGTTGGCTGACGTGAACAGTGAATTTCTCCCATCAATTTTGAAAGAAATCACTGTTCATGTAACTTCCCCGAAAAAATGAAAACAAATGTTTCCAACAATTCCATAATCGTCGATAAGTACGGCGAATGGAACAATTGGACAATCGTTCTAGCATAAATAACGATACAAAATGACCCACGAACACAAAAGACAGCACAGAAAATGCGTACAACGGTACCACCGAAAGACACACACATACACAAATGACCACAAAATCGATGGTGTACAAGAATCGTCGTACATGTTTTGAGGGGAATACAAAATGCATCAATGCAGCAACTGAGATTGATATGGTACGGAAGAGGCGAGCAAAGCTGCCCCACTGACGATCACAATCCCAGTTGCATACAGAGGCAGTTAGCACCACACCCCCAAAACAAGCACAGACGAAAACGCATAAATAAGTCATAAATCATTACAAAAACAGAAGACAATGTTTAGGAATGTTTTGAAGCAAATGCTAAATGCATCAATGCTGCAACTGTGATTGATATGGTACGGAAGAGGCGAGCAAAGCTGCCCCACCGACGATCACAACCCCAGTTGCATACACGAGGCACTTAGCACTATACTCCTAAACAAGCACAGACGGGTACCACGCAAACTTGTACAAAAACATAGAACAATTATTGTGATTGTGAATGCCCTGAAGCAAATGCTAAATGCATCAATGCTGCAACTGTGATTGATATGGTACGGAAGAGGCGAGCAAAGCTGCCCCACCGACGATCACAACCCCAGTTGCTTACACGAGGCACTTAGCATTATACTTCGAAACAGACACGAACACCACATCCCAAAATAGACACATGCACATGTGTGCTACAAACAAAACAAGGAAAAAAAAGGCATTAAAAAAAAAAGCACATAACAAGTAGGATTAACCACAAACACAACACTATAGACACACGGACGTAACTGACACAAACACCACGCAAGCACAATTGTTATTATAACATGACAACACACTCAGTTCTAACGAGACGTAGAATTCACGCACAACGTACTAAGTAGCAAACAAACCCAATCACACTCTACGATCAAGTTTGAAGTAGTGTAAATACGCATTCTCTTCCCCTTCCGCTATCCATATCCTCTCCCCTCCTTGTCACGCCCTTCGCTTTCTTCTTTTCCACGTATTTTTCGCCGTCAAAGCACGAGGCAGTCGAACTTACATGCGCTGCAAAGGAAAAAAAACAAAAAAATATACAAAAAAGGTTGCTTGAGAATCCGTTGAGAAATTATCACTAATACATTAGGTTACCCAATTTAAGGAATACGATAAATTAGTCAAACATCAAATGCTGTTTGGGAAACAAACATGTAACACACAGACTATTCGACAAAGAAACCAAACTACAATAAATATGTAACAATTAAGTAAAAAGCTATAGCAGTAAAAAACAATAGCTTGTAACTTACAAGACCACCACGGCGCTGATTGATTTTCACTGGTGTTGTCGGAACACTTGAAGGAGCAGTTGTCGCTGTGCGCTTGTTGTTTTCGTTCATGGATACCTCATGCTCATCCTAATAGAACAAGGGAAACAAGGGAGAAAAAAAAAACAATGTTTAATGAAAATGAAACTAGGGTACATTGATAGAAGTGTATAAGTAACATTTATAAGCTCGAAATATCAAAATGACAGTACTTGCAACATATAGGTGTTAAAGTTTAAAAGAGAGAAGAGAGAAGAAGAGGAGTGCACTAGCAAGAATGGGGATACAAATAGGAAACCCTAGAAGGGTTGTACTCGCTATAGAGCACCCCACTACAGGCTAGAGCATAAGATAACATTCTGACACACCCCCATAGCCAAAGTGGGGTGTAATCAGCAGAGCAAGAAAAGCAGTACAAGCTCAGGGTGGATCACAATGTCACCACACATTCTGAGCACAAGTTCAAGAAGGAATAGTTTAAAGGGTACAATTATGAGCAAAGCTAGTGGTAGTCACAACGGGCAAGCGAGGAGGAGGAGAGAGAGTGAGGGGAGAGGAGATAGGAGGCGACGGCTGAAGCTGCAGACACACGGGCAACAGGAGGCAGACTGGCACAGCGGCTACCGGACTAAGCGCCCGGACTACAGGAGTAACAGGCCCCGCGGCTAAAGTAGCGGCAGACGAGCAACGGACCCACGGGCGGCTGGCGTAGAAGTCTACGACTGGGCTACCGGACGAAGTCCCCGGACTACAGGTGCTGCTGGCGACACGACGGCAACCTCCGTGCAACTTCCCCAAACAGTCTCACCCCCCCGACACACACCCGCTGCTACACCGCTAGCTCCACTCCCACGCACCCCCCTTAAACCCTAAACCCCAGTCTCCCACACAACCACCCCCCTCAGCGACAGCTGCAGCAGTGGGAGACGAAGGAGGAGGAGGAGCAAAGGGAGGAATGCACACCGGCCACCCCCATACCCGCCACCCCACAGCTCGGCCCCCTCAGGTCGCCTCGACAGGCGACGGGAAAAGGGGAAACCCGAAGGAGGGGGGGGGGGGGGGGGGGGGGGGGGGGGGGAGGCGGGGCCGGGGCCGGGGCCGCGACAGGTAGGGCGACGGGCCGCACGTAGGGCGGCGAGACGACGGGGCCGCGGCCAGAGGTGGCGGGGCCGTGAAGGAAAGCGGCGGGGCCGCGATGGTGGGGCGGCGGGGCCACGATCGGAGGTGGCGGGGCCGCGACCGGAGGTGGCGGGGCCGCGAAGGAAAACGGCGGGGCCGCGAGAGTGGGGCGGCGGGGCCGCGACGGGTCCCCGTCGCCCGTCGCGGCGCCTCCAGAGGGCGACGCGACGAACGACGGGGCAGAAGCCCGTCGCGCGCCTCGGGGCGCACAGCGGGCAGAGAACCGCCGCGCGCCTCGGGGCGCACGGCGGGCAGAAAACCGCCGCGCGCCTCGGGGCGCACGGCGGGCAGAAAACCGCCGCGCGCCTCGGGGCGCACGGCGGGCAGAAAACCGCCGCGCGCCTCGGGGCGCACGGCGGGAAGAAAAACTGCCGCACGCCACGGGGCGTGCGGCACAGAGAGTAGCAGTAGCAGTTGCAGCGGAAGCAACAAGGTGGTGAGCCCACCCACAGGATCGATCCAAGGGGATCGACCTGCTCTGATAGCATGTTAAAGTTTAGAAGAAAAAAGAGAAGAAGAGGAGTGCACTAGCAAGAATGGGGATACAAATAGGAAACCCTAGAAGGGTTGTACTCGCTATAGAGCACCCCACTACAGGCTAGAGCATAAGATAACATTCTGACAATAGGCTCGGAACTTTGATTGCCAAGTAATGAACAATGCACTCACATTTGAAGATAGCAGCGAGAACGATGTGATTGTTCTGTCAAATTTGTTTCCTGCTGCCTTTGTGACCATCTGTAGTCAAAGAGAACATCTAATATATCAAGGAAACCAAAATAACAAACCGACGATTCACATTGAAATGAAATAGCACAAACGTTTGAAAGAAAAACACAAGATATAGTAGAATTCTGAAATGCTAAGGGTCACCTAAATATGCCATCGCTTGTTGAGCAAGCCCGACAAGATCTCCTTTTTCTCATCAGCTGCAGCGGCGGTCCATGTTGCAATGCTGAATTTGTCCAATCCACTCTTGAGAGCGCTCAGACTCACTAGAGCACGAACACCAGTGCGAGCTGACTTTCCAACTGTAGAGGGGGTATATGCGAACGTTATAGTTAAATAAATTGACTGAAAGAGTGAGAGTACAAGGTTGTGAAGAAATTTTTGAGGTAAAATATATTTGACAAAGAGAATGTGGACAAGCAGATGGAGGTAAAAATAGTAGAATGTTTGAAATTGGGGTACAATAGAGTGACATTTGAGAAGTAGAAAAGTTGAGGTACAATATGTGTAACAAACAGAATGTGGACAAGCAGAATGTAGCAGTATGATCAAATAACAAAGATTTCAAGCAAAATACATACGTGTTGTTGTGTCAAACACAACGACGATTTTGTCACGCCCGGTTGCGTTTGGCATGGCATGCCCGTTGTCGCAAAGGTACGCATCACTGGAGCAGCACCAACCCACAGGTAAACGGCACACGTTCGTGCTGTCCTCTGGTGAGCTGAATGAACAAGTCCACTCTGTAGTGGTACGAGCGTCGCGGATATCCACGCTGAGTGTGCATACGACGTCTCGTCCCAATGCGAGAGCATTGTCAGTCACTGCTCCCAAACTGTTTGAATATTGTATAAAAGAATGACATATGCAATTATGCAAACCACATAATCAAATGACAATAGCAGTACAAATTAGCTTCAGATATACATAACTGTTTAAGAGCAAATTCGATAAAAGAGTATATGCTTTGGATAACATGTTGAGAAAGGAGACAACGAGTAACAAAGGAAAATGGTCAAAGTAAACAATGCATATGAAAGGCAAA